TAGAGTCATTTGTGGTTCCACCAGCATAATTTAGCCGTTTAACGCTATTATGTTTCTAATGGTTGAAAGAGCGCTTGGAAAGGGCAATTTAAGAACAAAAACAATTACAATAATGTATTGTGTGAACATTAATAATTGCTATATACTGTGTCTATAGTATTAAAATACCTGAAAAGAGTCTCAATTCTAATATTAAGTCGGTTATAAACCTTGATAATATTAAAGTTTTCAGAAGATTTGTATATCAGAGGAATATTAAAAGGAATTTAAACTTATAAAACATATCATTAAAAATATGAATATAGTGAATTCCATGTTTATATTGTGTTATCATCTCTAGAAATTAACAGTTTATAAACCAAATCCTTGTTATATTTTTTAACTGCCCTTATAGCTTTCCTTATATGTTTTAATATTTGCCAGCAGTTTAGTAGGTTAGGGATGCAACAGCACTTTTCAAATTATTGAATTATAACCAAATTTTGTGTCTGGATAGGAATTACTATTAAAGATTTACAGTTTGTAATGATAGAGTTGGAGCAAGTTAAGCTGCAATGTGCCTCAGTTTGCCCTACCTTGTTATTTTAAGCTGTTTAACGCCAGAATTTTTTCTCGTCAAGGGGAAAGTATTGGACTTGGTATTTGAATGGGTTAACCAGTCCATCTGCATGTCTACCTATCTTTGGTTAATTATCTCATTAGATCATTAAGCCACCCGATCATTAGTGCACCCTATTTTGTTATTTCACTGTACTTCTGGACAGGGATGGATCCAGCATGATCTGGTAGGGGGGAGGGGTCTGGTGCCGACTGCCGAGTTGTGTCGGTCATGTGTGCCGCCCGCCCATCAACTACTGTATTTGAATTGTAATTGTTGTTCACAGTTCACTTATCATCATGTTATTACTCAAATTACTGTATCTCATTTTGTCTTTTTTGCTTTATCATGAAAAATAGCACCACACACCCCAGTAAATCCATCCCTGCTTCTGGACAATATTTCTTATCAATGGCCGGAAATGTACTTGACTTCATGTTGATTACTGCCATTAATTAATTAACTACTGTACTAAATAGGACATTCAAGGTTGGAGATATAATAGCAATAGAGGTTGCTATCATTGTAGCATCCAGGGGCGTCGCTAGCCCAAATTGTCAGGCATTTGGCAATTTATTGTATCACAATTGGGAAATTGTTTTTGTGGCCAGCATGATTTGAATTGGATAGGAAGGGAAAAACTGAAATATATGAGTTTTTGTTGCCCCTTCTCAGAGTAGGTATGTTTTGTTTTATAGTGTAAATAACAAGTTTTGATATTGCAATCAAACTGACAGACAGGGTAGTAGTCATGACCATGGTAATAAAAATATTTCTATGGCTCGGCATTTATATTGGGCAATTTTTTATCATTCATCACAAAATTATACCTGCACCCTAGGTGGTTCCCTGCAGGGGGTCATAACCTGGGGGAAGCTGATGAAAATGAATTCTGGTATTGGTGGTTGATCACTATCATTTAATATTTTTGTGAATAGAACATTTCTAAAAAAAAATATATGAATTTATGAAAAATATTTATATGGTCTCCCAATGTGGATTGAATTTTGAATTTTGAATCTTGAATTTTTAAAAACAAAGGGAATTCAAACAAGGCCCTATTTCGAACCATATAGGAGCACAAATTTGCTAATATTTTGGTCTTTGAGATCCATAATACTATTATGTATAAGCATGGATATAGGCTAGGAATTTTCGGCTTATTCTGACAGTAAGTATATGCTAGAATATAAAAGAAATGTTTTTGTTTCCAAGCGGCTTTGCTGTCAGTTTGATGATTATTCTCATTGGTAATCCAAGACAGAATTAAACATCGACAAAATATATTGTAGGTTTTGTTCGAAACTTTCCATTCCCTTTGAATTTGGTAGTGTATTCCCGTCTACCAGACAGCAAAATGTAATATTACATTTATGATAGTGTCTGTTGGATTTCTGTTTTCAAAAAGCAAAATAATTAAAGATACTTTTTCAAAACATACGAACACAAATTCATTAATATATTGTTGTCTTCGATAATAGTAAGATAAATATACAATGAATATGAATTAAGGAGTTTTTCGGTTTATTCTGACAACAGGCAGTAACGTAACGAGGGCAGTATATAAAGCTCAAAATATACAAATATTAACAAGTTTGGTTGTGTTTCAACACAGATTGCTTTTTTAGTCTCATCAAACCTAAATTGTACAAGCTAAACGTTCAACAATCAGTTGACAACATGATGTTATATGTATGTATATATATATATATATATATATAGTTTTTGTTCAAAACATGCTTTTGCCTTGTAAAAACTGTAAAATATTTAAAGAAACTTACCAAATCTTGACTTTTTTAGAAGGGCTTTAAGCAACAAGAACATATATGGACAAACACCAAAGGTTTAGCAGTCCGCATAATCTTTTTTTGTAAATTAAGTTTTAATAAAAAAAATTCACAAAAACAATCCTCACATGGTCTGTTTCCGCAACATAGGGTAATGCGGGGCAAAATGAGACAGTGGGGCTAAATGAGACAGTTCGATTCATTGGCGCTTATATGGAGTTCTATTCAATTATTTGTGTCCACAAACCCAATAAAGTGCTCGCACCGAAAGGAAAACGAACAGTTTCATCAACAAGTAGTGGTGAACGCGGTCAGACAACAACCATTGTTGTCGCATGCAGTGCATCTGGTGTGTATGTCCCACCAATGATGATTTTCAAGCGAAAAAGAAGTAAACCGGAACTTGTCGACCATGCACCGGCAGGCACAATTGCCGGTTGTTCAGATAGTGGCTGGATCGAGGCAAATTTGTTTTTAGATTATATAATACATTTTGCAGCCCATGTGAAGTGCTCGAAAGGTTCACCAGTTCTATTGATTCTGGATGGTCATAAGAGCCATACCAAATGCCTGTCCACCATTGAGTTCGCCCGTGAGATTGGTATTGAAATGGTTTCATTGCCACCACATACATCACACAATCTCCAGCCATTAGATAGAAGCTTCTTTAAACCATTGAAGTCGGCATTCAATACTGCTTGCTCAAGCTGGTTAAGGAGTCACTCTGGTCGCAGAATAACAGTCGACAAACTAGGTGAACTTTTTAACACTGCATACTTGAAAGCTGCATGTATTTTATTACTAGTTCCAAAGTTTTATTAAATTAAGCATGATTATATTAACTTCATTGTAATTGTTTTAGTCCTGTCTCATTTTGCCCCACTGTGCGGGGCAAAATGAGACAATTTCAATTGCCGGATTTTTGCCAATTTACAACCAATAAATTATTTCAAACTATTTTTTTTTGCTTTGAATATCTTGCTGTGTGTCAGCCTCACATATTCAAGCCAAAAAAAAAATCAGATTGTTAAGCATGTCATTTTGCGACATTAAACGTCCTTAAGTGTCTCGTTTTGCCCCGCATCACCCTATATACAATAAATTTTACTCTCATTCAAGGCAAGCAAGGTTAGCTTATTTGTCTAGGTTACAGTGTGTACATTTTACCACACAGTGTGCAAAGTCTAGGTCACAGTGTGGGTTTCAGGGTTCAGGCAGAGGGAACAATCCGAGTTTGAAATTATTCCCCATTTTGTGAGGTTTTTGCGTGTGGGAAGAGTGTTGTTGATGTAACGGATGGTGAAGTTATAGATGCTTTTAGGCAAGCTGGATTGTGATTTGGACCATAGGTTATTTAGTGTAGACAACGAGAACTTTGTGGTGTTAGAAAACAAGGAGCCTTGGAGAAGCAGATTATTTTGGAGCTTGTCCTCTTGTGCAGATTTGAAACTTTTAAGAACTTCCTTTGTTGAGGTGTAGACGTCGTACTGTATGTTAGTATTGTCGCCAGTTGATTTCCATAAATTTCTTATACAATCATTTGGAGAGGTTTTAATAATAATAATAATAATAATAATAATAATAAAAATAATAATAATAATAACAACAACAGCAGCAACAACAACAACAACGACAACGACAACAACAACAACAACAACAACAACAACAACAACAACAACAACAACAACAACAACAACAACAACAACAACAACAACAACAACAACAACAATAATAATAATAATAATAATAATAATAATAATAATAATAATAATAATATTAATAATAATAAAAATTGCGCACTTAATTATACCGTGTTCGACTCAAAATATTGAGTTAAATTATAATCAAATATATGACGGCCATATTTGGTCATGTTTGGGAAAAATAAATTTTTACTCAAGCATTAACTAAATTTGAAACTGTTCTCAAAACAATGCCCAAAATTAATTGGGCAAATCTTTTGAGTAAAAAGAGTCGATTTTCTCACATATTTGAGTAATTTACTCAAAACTGTGAGACAATGTGGGTGCATTATTTTACGAGGGACGTGAAGAGGTAAAATGAGAACTAGCATTTTCGTTTTTTTGGGCAGAGAAAGTGGAATTTACTGCACTGACACTAGGATTTAACCAAGGGATTAGCGACAAAAAAATTTGAAAATTTTATTAATCCTATTGAGCGGTCTCCGACTCTTTTATTCGATACAAATGTTTAAAATCCTTTGATAATTCCTATGTTTTAAGTAAAAATAATTAGATTCTGCAATAGTATATCTCAGAAAAACACATCGAAACGCATTTTTTGCCTACACGCGTGAATATTATGAGCCTGATGTTTAACACGATTGAACAATGCTGCGCGGCCTACATTGTTCACACTTGTCAACAATATTGAACAATATTGTTGAGCCTGAATCGGGTGTAACAATATTGTTCAATATTGTTGACAACCATGAAAAACGTGGGCCGCACAACATTGTTCAATCCTGTTTTCATCAATATTGCAACAACATGATCGTTTTTAGTTGTGTAGGCATCACAATTTCATGCTCAGCGGTTTGTTGTTGCTAAAATGACGTCATCAATTTAATTTATTACATGCAACATTTTTTAAATATCCGCTATGGATCAGATTCCAGATTGAAATCCGAATTGGACCGACATAAGACTGCAAACTGCGACTCAGCCCCCCTCCCCACTCCACGACTCATTTACTAGTCAAGTGCCGAACCGCGATACATCCTTTCTGAACCACAGACCGTCTCAACTCTAATGCCTCGGTCAAATTGGGACAGGAATTGCGTAAGAGTTGTTGAGAGTTGATGTGGCTCGGTATAGTTTATTTAAAATGGCAACTGTACAATTTAGATCCGTATTTCTTGAGGATTATTACCTGTTGAAAAACAAAATGTAACTCAGTGATGTGAAACAATATCTGAAGGCTATGAATTTTTTCACAAAAGTTGCGCAACTTTCGTTGCTATGGCAAAAATGACGTTTCGAAATGTCATATATTTTGCCTTTAAGGTAATTTAAGATTATGTTGTAGTCGGTGACTCCAAAATAACAAATATCTTATTTTATAAGATTATTTCTTTTAGTATATTCAATTATTTTGACAATTTAAAAAAAAATTCTGTCGTGCCAGAAAAAAATTTCGGCTTTTTGTATCTGCGAAGCAGATATATATGCTATCGCAAACGTACCGTACCGTACCGTATCCCTAGCCATTCAGCGATGGGCTTATATAATTCAGCCAATTTATGCCAATTTAAGCCAATCAGCGATCAGTTTACATCAATTGTTTACATCGTGCCCGCATCTAACCTGCGAACGGACATACTTTAGCCTCGTCAGGCCTCGTGTATAAATCGTGTTATTCTTTCAAAAATATCTTGATATTTTTATCAATTTATCTTGAATTGGGCAATTGGCTGTGTTTTCTCTACTTGCGATATTATTCCGAAGTTATTTATCAACATGGAATCTTATCCTCATCTGGTAAGTAGTCAAATACCATATATTATAGATTTAAATACCAAATTTGTGCAAATATATATCATCTCACATATTTAATACATGAGTTCGGCAAATTACTATACTATCTATAGTTAATATTGCCGTATCTTCGGCGTAGAGACTGTATACATGAAATGCACTCTGGAATTTTTTTATTAATATATTACACTGTATAAAATATTGGATATTTTCGAGGATATTTTAAGCCATTTGTCAACATAGTTCACAAAAAGATTTATACAGTAAAACAATCCTTCTGTGACTTCTGTAATATTTTAAACAGTCAAAACATAGCAGGCAATATTGCCAATGAACAATACCAAAGGAAACTAATGGTCTCGGAGATATTGAATTAAATCCTGGTCGTGTATTTCTGTATAAACTCTGTTCAAAACAACAGTCCAACTAAGCTGTCATCAAATGTAGTGTTGGAGGTTAAAGATGTTATCAGTTTACAATACTTATACATTTTGGTTTTACACATTTAATAGAGTTTATAATTAAACAAAATTTTTACAAACATTTTCAAATGCTAATAAAAGAATCCCCACCCTCCCTCCTTTAATATTACATTGTTATTTTGCTTTCTAACATAAATGTTTTTGTCTAGAGATTAATGCAAGAATGATGAATAAATTTACTGGATATTGGCTAGATAATTTTGTCAGAACAACCCACTTGCAAGACAATCTTACCTAAATTCATAAGTATCAATTATGGTATGGATACTGTAACAACTTAACAGCTACAATAATCATATATTATATCGATGGTCAGATCAATGGCACACAATATGTACAAAACTGAACTTGTGATACCTTCTACTCAAACCGATATTGTCCCACAACACAAATTGTTTTTGTGTGGATATGTTGTGTTAAACCGAACAGTGTGGTATATCATTAACTGTGCACAGGATTGGAATTTAATTATATACTTCATTCATGACCTTTAAAACATTTTCTACTATTCAGTGGTCTTCGATATATGATGGACTCTTTGCATCAGTATTGGAATTTAATTATATACTTCATTCATGACCTTTAAAACATTCTCTACTATTCAGTGGTCTTCGATATATGATGGACTCTTTGCATGCTACAGTATTAATGCATGTTCCTCGAATAGTTTGTGTATGTTACTCAACAGTTAACGTTGGCAAGTGTAAACAACAAGTGACAGAACTTTTGCTTCATATGATTACAATAAAGTTTTGAAAATGGGTATGGATTGACAAGTGACAGTTTACTAAATAGACACTGCGAATATTGTTTGCATGAAATTTTTATTTTTTGACCGCATAATTATCCGAGTTACAATGGGTCGTTCCAGAAAAAAAACCGTACTCCCCCCCCCCCCACAGAGGAAATTTCTGCCGTCCGGAAGGGGAGGGGAAAAAATTGTTTCGCGAAGGGAGTAGGGGGGTTAACTTCCTATTTCCCCTGTGAGGGTGGTATGGATGTTTTCTGGAATGACCCAGTCGTAATCACATAAAATAGTTAAATGTTCTCCACGGGGGGGGGGGGGGGGGGG